ACAATTGTGTCGTAAAGAAAACAATAAAAAACATCTCAGTTTCACAAGACAAAGATCAAATAATTTTATTTGTCTCATTTCTTTATCGTCTTGTAATAAAATTTAAATTAGTGTCGCTTTATGACGTGCACTCATAATTAATTAATCAATCATAATAACTATGCTTTGTTACAGAGATTTATAACAATGCAATAATTATAGATATTTCCTTAATAACTTAACCGCTCTTATGTTAGCTCTGCGACCCAAAAAGTGTCATTATTAATAACATAAAAAGTAGTTAATATATTTTTTATTTCAATTGTTTAATTGTGAAAAGAATTAAACATAAACATATTTAAGTAATTCGTGGCAAATTAGACGTAGAATTTAGTATTTTTAAGGTAAAAAAATTAAATTTATCCAAGAGTAGTTTCTATTTGAAATTTAATTTTTTTGACATATTACGTCATTTAATGACCATTTATTGAAATTTAATCTATAGAATCTATTATTCAAATGGTCGACACTTGTATACACTAAGTATCGAATAGGTAATTTATGTAAAATTGCTATTCTACAATATTGTTAAGTCCATAAAAATTACTAGGTAACTATGAAAACCGGAATTTAAGAGTTAACTAGCTAAGATTTATGTAAATTAGACGTGTATAGGTAGAATATTAAAAACTATAAAGTTTGCAAGGCAATTGCAAATACCCCGTTTAGTAATTCATGATAACTACTATATATGTCTAGAAAAAACCTCCAAGTTTTATCTCATATTTGGTTTATTAATAGGTAGGAACTGCCTTGGATTCTGTAACTCACTTTTCGAACTCACAAGCGGCTACAGAAAAGTGAGTTACGAATGAGGGTTGGTTTATTGAAAAACGACTGGAATACTTCACATTATTACGGGTTTTTAATTTACGAATTCGGGACAATTGTAATAATATATCGAGACCTACTCAATATAAATATTAAAACAATATAATAAACATATATTTATTCAAACCTTGACCTACCATTAGAGGTGTCCAATCTCGGTGGTCGCGGCAAATCTTTAAGATCATATGAATCGACGCCTCTCAAACCGCAGCATCCGCAATCAGAGTTCCAACATCTAGACAACCTACTCTTCACTGCACCCATTACTAATCACTATATAAAAATCCTTAATCACTCTCTTATTCAGCCACTGTGTAAACAAACTGTTCTCGATTTAGTACGATAAACAGACGCCACTTAAAAGATATTAAAATCCATTAATACGTGATCGAACGCCGCGTGCGCTGTATGCGATGGATTCGATACATCTGTGGTGTTAGGCCTATAACCTAAGGTTGCTATGACCTCTTATCAGCTGAATTTGTATGTCCAAGAACACATTGACTCATCTTTGGTATAAACAGTCATATTTAAGAGAAAATTTGCGGGATTTCACGAAGGTGCGTAACCAATTGTGCTTAAGTTATTACGTAATAGAATTTAGGGCTTAATATTATTGCAAAAGTGTCTGACGCTTTACATTTGAAGTGATGAATGAATTACGTAATAAGCGTTTAGAGATAGATAGTAAATAAGGCTCTGGCTGTGTTGGTTTCAGTCTAAAAAGATTATCTGTACATATGTACACTACTACAGATTTTATAAAAAATCCCATTAATCAGGTCAAGTTCACTTAACTTGTGTCATCACTGAGTAATATACTCGTACATTCAACTGGAATTTTTATTCTTTTCGAGCGCTTATAATTCTTATATCATAAATAATGTGACAAAGGCTGTTTGATAAGATGATATAACTTACACACGATTAAATTTACTACGATGACATCATCAATGGCAACCTGTCGCAAGGTCTTACATACTCTGCATTTTCCTTGTAAATGAATTATTTTCTCATTGATTTATAATATTCCGCGAATATGTGACATTTGACATGTATTAAAGTTATGAAGGTCGTGTGAACATTGATGACTACGAGCGTTTAGTCAGTCGTAGACCTTGTCATGTTTCTTTCTTGACCCGTGAAATCTGGTTTAAAACTGACACATTTCACTAGTATATTGGTAATTCAAAGTTGAATTAGTCGTAAATTAGCTGCATAGCCTTACTCAGAGTCGCCTGTTAAATAGGTTAACACAAGTGTAAATACGATATGATATGTTCGCCACGAGTGTGTGACGAGTGTGCCACGAGTGACAGCAACGAGAGCTCTGAGACAAAATTATTTCGATTATGATGAATGAACTTCGTAACCTTTCATTGACAACTAAATTAATTCTGTTTTTTCTTGTTTGTTGCACAACCAAAATATTTCGCATGTTTCCCTGCTTATTTAAGAAAAACTATATGTGAAGAATTTTAATTGGCCCACAATGTTATATATATACACATCTATTTCTGTATTATTCTGTAAATCTTCTGAATGAATAAATGTCTGAATGAATGAATTAATTAATAAAAATAAAAAGAAGAAGATAAGTTACTTGGGACATGTGCTTCGACACGAACGGTACCGACTTCTTCAAGTCAATCATGATGGGCAAGGTCGAGGTGAAAAGACGCGCTGGCAGAAGGAAGATGTCGTGGCTCCGCAATATCAGAGAATGGACGGGAGTGGCCAGCGTAGAACAGCTGATGCGCTTGACGAAGAATAAGAAGAAGTATGACCGCCACCCTCCAGTAGTGTAGGGGTAGGCAGAGATGTCCACTTGCTACGAAGTGAGGTATTCACTTGCTTCATCCAAATTCATGATATTCACCGTACATGCTTGTCGGTTTTTGGTTTTGATTTGTCCCCTCTTTAGTACATCAAGGATTTGGTCCAGGTATGTACGAAATTTAGTTCTATGGTTGCAATATTTACCACGTAACTTAGAGTCCACACCAAACAGTTTAAAATATCAAACCGATTTATAAATTAGGAACTTTAGATTAATTAACAATGCGATAGGCACCAAAGAAATCGTATAAGAAACAATAAGAGCAATAAAGGTAAATCGTCTGAAGCCAGTAAAACGATTTGCTGATAGTATTTAAAAATCTAATTACATGTAATTATGGACATTCCTGTTATATTTTGGTTCGTTAAGAACTTTGCCAGAGCACGTATTGGTTACTACTTAGGCGTAGGATATTTCAAAATTTAAACACCAATCTGAGGTATTAATAAACGTTACTGTTTAGCATTCCTTGCTATTTCAGATATTAGGCATTTGTTTCGTTTCGACACCATTTTGCAATGCAGTATGAAATGGTAAATCTAAAAGTGAGTTAACAAGTAAAAAAAAAAACAAAACGATGTAAAAATTATATAATTGAAAATATTAGTTGTTTGTAGTCATAACTCATGGATAATATTTACTCAAGAGTAATATTTAATTATTTTATAATAGAAAACCACTTACCTATTTATTTTTTTACCTTACAAACATACAGTATTAACAATATTCTTAACCTATATATGTAGTAATAATATTAATCATTAAAAATTGATAAATCGAAAATTAAAACAAATTTAAAAAGTTTGTGTACACTGCCTTTAATGCTGGAAGAATTTCCTCGCAGTATTGCGATACTTATTCTTTGAGCGAGGAAAGCACCAGCTCTGGGGTCACCGATACTATCTACCAGGCGCAAACTTAAATCTTTAGCGCCTGTGCACTTGAACCCCACGGTCCAAAACTCTACTACGAAGGGAACAAAATCAAAGTTGGAAGAAAGACTCTTATATTTGAGTCGTTTATTATATTCCGCCTTTTTTATGTAATAGGAGGCAAACGGGCACGAGGCTCACCTGATGTTAAGTGATACCGCCGCCCATGGACACTCAATTTGCCAGAAGGCTCGCAAGTGCGTTTCCGGTCTTTCAAGAATTGGTACGCTCTTTTATTTTTTTAGTTCAAAGATATTCGTTTATTTATATGATATATTAGTATATATCTTTATTTAGAGGCCACGCATCTCCACTTGCTACGGTCCTAACATGCCTCTCTCGCATCATTTCACTTTCATGACATTCACCATGCATGCTAGTCAGATATGGGAACTTTTAACTTGTCCTTTCTCTAGTACTATATTAGTTGATCGCATCTATATTAGCATATCTATTTTAAACTACGAACTCATAGGTACCAACTCTTCTGTTATCAAAATTATTGCGGTCGGCATAAATTCTATTATGGTTCATAGCAAAGTCTATTTTGAATGAATGACTCGGTGTTTCAGGAGTCATTCAATATTGCGTCACTGGGAATTACTGATCGCAATTATTTGATGTGATGGGTACAATAAAATAAAAGACAAATTATTAATGCAGTGAATATTATTCTTGAGATCTCAAAAACACACAAACACCGTGACTATTTTTTTTAATTTTACGATAAATAAACACATCTTAACAACTTATGACTAAAATAACACCGGAGGATGTACATCAGCATCAAAATGGCACTTAAATTCTACCCCCACCTTTTCCCACATTGTGCAGATTTTTTTTTTACATTTTTAGTTTAATATGTGCTTAGGTGTATAAAATGTTATAAAAATCCGGTGAATTATAACTCAAATAAAATTTACTGAACATTGAAAAGACTAATGCGATTTCTAAATATATATAAAGTATATAAAAATAGTAACAATTACATAGATTGTCTAAGACATTATGCATCGAATCATCATAGATTAGTGATAGATATCGGTTAACAGCTGATAGGTTAAATTCTATTTATATGATTAAAGCTTAGCTTAGAGAATATGCAATATTCAGTCAAGATTCAAATAATAATAAAACAGTATTACTGAACAAATTCACAGGATTATTGTAACATTTGCATATCAATAACCGTTAAACATAGCCAAGTCGTTGAAATTTACACTTTAGACAGTTTTTATTAGGGTATCTCCTTTTATATGTGGTTCGGGTATTGAATAAGATCTGAAGGAACAGTCGACGTCGATGTGAACTGTATGTATCGTAGGGCCCAAGTTCAGTCCCCTGGGCCCTGGTTCTAGCTAGCCCTTCACAATGATGACAGCACTGCCGAAGATCTCATCAATTTGGCGTGAGGAGAAAGTAGCTACTACGTGAATATCTCCTTCGCGACGTGGCAATACCTTGTCCTGGTATGTGACCAGCTCGCCAGGTTTTACATCTCGGAAACGGGCCTGGGAGATAATATGGAATTATTCGCTGGATACTAGAAGTTGTAATTATAACTAAGCTAATGCCTTGACGGGCTTAAATACAAAAAGATAAAAAAATATTTAGACTTTAGACCTGCAAAAACATATGAAGATATAGAAAAAATCTCACCTGACGCGGTCTCTGTATGCCAGGGCCCTCGAAACTAAAGTAACAATCTGTCAAGTGAACTGTCAGCGGGTTCTGAAAGCTAAACACCAGTGTGCCATCTTGACCTACTGTCAGCGGTCCCCTGGTCTGAAAAATCCCGTTTGGCTTGAGATGCTGGCGTATAATGTAGCCCTAACCGTGAATGGCATTTATATTATAACATCAATTCTGAATATTAGATATTCGTCAATACTTTAAATAAATATTTTTTGTTGCGTATATACAAGCTTTATGTGGACTTTAAAGACATCTGTATGTAAAGGACCAAGGGGAAGAAGGAGAAGAGGGCGCCCCAAAAAAAGGTGTATAGAAGAAATAGAAGCAGTAGCAGGAAGTGAATGGAGAAAGAAAGCCATGGACAGAGTCAGTTGGAAAATGCTGGAGGAGACCTTTACCCGTGTAGGGGTTCCGATCGACGGTACTGAAGGTAGCTAGGATATAGGATTTATAATATAGCAAGATAAAAATAATGTAAAAAATCTATGCTGTTATGCTTTTGTCATGATTAGAAATTAAACGAGCTATATTATCTAAGCTGTAATAATAATTTATTAATAAATAAATAAATTAATTAATAATAATAAATAGCTGCTTATATAATATAATAATAATAATAAATATTATTATTATATTATATAACATGTCTTAGACCCAAAAAAGTCGACGACGGTTGTCAGGCACTGGAAGCTGATCACCTACTTGCCTATTAGATTTAAAATTATCATGTAACAGATTCAGAAGTCTGAGGCCAAGACCTAAAGAGGTTGTAGCGCGTTGGGCGTAAAGCTGGGTTCGTTTAGATTTTTTAAGGCAAATCAGCTTATAATTATTATAGCTATTATTCAAATGAATCTATCAAAGGATGAATGGAACAGGGTCAGAGATGATTGCCCCATTGGGAGTTATGTGACTTCAACCTTCTTCAACTTACCTGTATCTGCAGCTTCGGCTTGTGCAAGGGAAAGTCATCTTCCTCGGACCAGGCCTGACGTGTCTGCTTGACATAAGCCATGGCATGGATCTTTATCATCGAGTGATCTACCAATTTATCCATATACTCCTGTGACGTAACGTGCAGTTTAAGTATTTCCCTTTGTCCTGCACGTACAATGAACTCTCCCTGGGCTCGTCTCAAACGAGAGGCGATTGCGCCCGTGTAGTAACATGAAGACGCGGTCAATATGCAAAGTATCGTACGATCTTCCGTTGATTTATTCTAAAATATAAACTCTATTTGTTTGAAGGAATCAGAAGTAAGATAATATGAAATTTATTTGCATCAAGATATGTATTGGAATTTATAAAATTAGTTTATCTGTTTATTTAAAGCTTGTATCATTCAAAAAGCTTAACAATATTTTAGCTAGCAATATGCACCACTAACAGTTATTAAACTCACAGATTATCGAAAGTTTTGAACGTTTTCGCCTAATTCTACTTTATAACTAGAAACATACCACCTAAGTAAATACCTGGATGTTCATAGAGCAGTCAAAGGGCTGTCCGTACGGCACAGTTTCAATATCCATCAAGTCAAAGGTCACATCATCGTCACTTTGATTTGATTCATGACTTTGTTGTAAACGTTGAAAGCCTCGACTTGAAGCGATAACGGACATTCGATCGGGCGCGGAACCATTCGTAGGTTTATATTCTTGGGTTATTTCAAGTAAATCACTGTCACCTTCTTCGTCTTCTATATTCGGATTTTTCGTTACTATTTTGCGACCGACCCTGAAAGTGCAAAAGCTTGAGTAAACATATTTCTTTTTCGATAACAAACACAATCATTTAGAATATTTAATAAAGATTGGTATTGAATTTCGAAAATATATATTTAATATTTGCGATATAATCACAATTTCAATTATATTTAACTTTTTTAAGAACTAACTGACCAGAACACAAGAAGCAACCAATAAATTCGTGTGTTAAAAACAACAATTAGAAGCATGAATTGCTTTAAAATATCATATTTATTATTTATAAAAAAGAAAATTGTAATTAGTTGAATTTAGATAAACTTAAATATCGGTGCTAATACAATATGACAAGTGTGTAGATGATTCTTTTGCATCAATCAGACACAGTAATATGTATCCATATAGAGAAACATAAACAAACTATTTAAGCTTATTATTTAAAATAACATCTTTAATCGTACAACTATTTAATACTCACTGTTGCTGATTCGAAGCCATTTTGATAAATCCCCAATCAGAGTCATCTTCCTCTTGAAAATGACACAGCTGTGAATTAAGTTCGGAATAGACAAAGGCAGTATCATAATTAAAGCCTACTTCCCCTCGTCGAACGGCCTCCAAACTCGCTGGACCACATTGGAACACTGCATCAGCTTCCTCTTGAGGAGTAGCGTCAATGATTTGCCAACCGCCATACCCTAGAAACTCTAGTTAATAAAGTTCCTGAAGAATAATAGTAATTTTCTACACATATATGTATATATAGATATATGTACCTTAGAAGTCTTGCGTTTCATACCTCTTCTTACTAGTATAATAGAATATAATTTGTTTGCTTAAGGTATTTTTTTTATATTTTTTCATTTATATGAATGTTATTCTTAAAGCTACATATTTTAAACCGTTTGCCTTATAATTGCCTAAAGGTTTTCTTAAGGCCTTATAAGATGGATGCTGTGCTTTCTTTATGTTTTCAAATTTAGCCCTGCTATGTGTCTGACCGTGCACGAGTAGTACTTCTCTATAAGAATCCTATGACTGACTTAATAATTGCCTAGGACAGGACAGGGCCAATCTCTGTTTTACCCTAAAATTCAGAGTCTAGAAGTATGACAAATCCTATACGTTTTTGACATATGGAAGTCATACTTAACGGTAAGTTCGAACCATAACGAGATCTGAGAGAGATCACGTTTTAGTTATTATAATGAGAGTAATAATAATAATAATAATCATTGGCGCTACAACCTCTTTAGGTCTTGGCCTCAGATTTATGAATCGGTTTCATGATCATTTTTTTAAATCTAATAGGCAAGTAGGTGATCAGCCTCCAGTGCCTGACACATGCCATCCACTTTTTGGGTCTAAGACATGTCGGTTTCCTCACAATGTTTTCCTTCACCGTTCTAGCAAATGTTAAATGCGCACATATAAAGAAAGTCCATTGGTGCACAGCCGGGGATCGAACCTACGACCTCAGGCATGAAAGTAGCACGCTGAACCTACTAGGCCAAAACTGCTTTCTTAAGCAAGTCATTAAATAATCGGGCATTAAATTTAATGGTTGAGAGTTATGATGGAATTATAATGAGAATATCCGCAAAAAACCCGGAAGTATGGAAAGTAATGTGTGATTTTTTCCAAATTAAACCTACCTTGTGGAAGGTCAGGTCTTTGCATCCAAACATCGTTCCAAGCGTGAAAATTCCAACAGGAATCATAGCAATCCTCATCGGGCCCGTTTGGTACGAGATTCCCCTCTTTATCGAAAAACTTATCGACTGTAAATGTCCCGTTCGTATCCTGCGCTGACACATAGTTCGTTACCGAACGGCAGGGGATTCCTGGAGTAGATTATTATGACGTGTTCATTTGAAATACTTTGTATGACAAAGTTTCTTATTAAATGGGTGATATGTTACAGATTTAAAAAATATTTCTTGAACCAGATATCTATCGATTATTTGGCAATTTGCCTGCCCCGCAGAAACTGTAGGTACCCAATAAACGATGGTGTTAAAACTTACCTAACGCTCTGCAAATCGTGACAACTAACCCAGAGAAGACCCAGCACTGTCCATATTCAACTGGGCGCCCCCCGTCCGTTAGGAATCGCTCCAAAATCGCAACAGACCCAGTCCACGCGTGTGGTGCTACACCATCTTTGTATTCACCATCGTATCTACCTACCATTAAACCATCGTCGTCGCTGTTTGCGTTTATCTAAAAGATACACATTATTTTTTTAGTTGGTCAAAACTTTTCGAATATACTATACGATTACGAACATATATAATAACAATAATATAGCTTTATTCCATAAGAATACAAACACATATACGACATTAACTACAAGTAATGAAAAAACCCTCCACAAAAGCATTCCAAAATCTTCTATTTTTTGTTATCTGCCAGCGCGGTGGCTCCAAATATAAATGCAATAAACATAAACGATAGATTAAAAATAGTTTATATAAATCGACACAGTGCAATTTCCAGGAAATCAAACCTACATGCATATCTGCAAATAACTAGTTAATTATATTAATATATCGTGTTTTTTTTTTTAATTTAATGTTTTAAAAAAGGATAAATAATATTACCATAGACGAAATCGCTCTGCAAATTCGTACTGGGTTCCCTCGATCCGAGTGTTCCAAACCACTACGCTCCAAGAGATATGTAGCAGCGGGAAGAACCACGTCATCAAACTGTCCAAATATCCATTTACGACCAATCGGCTGATGCCATGTCCCACACCACAATTTTCCCTGATCATTCAACACATATTCCTTCCTAGATTCCTCATTCTCCATATACACTGTGTCCTCACGACTCCACGGATTAAATATTATGTAAATATCCTCATCGCATTTATAATCGTGACGGTTATCGCGTTGACCCAAACGACTCGTCTGAATCCAGCAATTCCACAAGCCAACGGGAGCTGTTGGCGGAATCGTTACTTGGAATGTTATGGTGTTCCCGTCCTGTCTGTGGATGCTAATATCCCATTTTTCTGATTCCGGTATAGAAGGTGTTAAGTTTTGGACCGAGCCTTGCTGAGAGCGACCGTAGGCCGAAGGTGTTGCGTTTAATATGGGTCTATCTACGGCTCCATGAGGACTAAGTGGACTTGGCTGAACTGTCGGTGGATCATTTCCAAACGAGCTACGTCGAACATTATAGTTATTTGTCTCCCTTACACTGCTCACGGGACTCATTGATGCAGTAGTTCCCACAGCTGTGGTCGTAATTGTGCTGACATCGCATTGCATTCGAGGTAATCCCACACTCATGCCAATACCAGAACCAATCACATCACGTGGGTGGTGGAATATTGTTGGTGGTGAGACCCATTGCACCGGTAAAACGATTCGTGTACCTTTCGTAACGCTGGGTTTTGGACCTAAAATCGATTTAAACTATCTGTACTATAATATTAAATCAAACATTCGACATGTCTTGAATTAAAAAGTAAAAGAATTGTACTGTATAGAAAAGCAAAATCAAATATGGACAACAAAATCTATTTGTATAGACATTTAATATTGATAATATTAGAATTGTAAAAAAGGAGAGCCTAATTGATTTACCGCATTCAGAGATAGATGTATTCTCTGTACAAGAAATGTGAAATTCACTTACCACAGCAAAGGACAACATGTATGATATCGAGTTGCTTATCTGAAATCCTGTCAAAGCGTACAGCAAACAGAAACTTTTGCCCTCTTCTTAGAACTGGATTGGGAAATACATTATCGTTAACCAAATCATAAAGCTCGGTGTGATGTTCCTTCGAGTTGTCTCGCGAATAGAACTCTGTAAGCTCGACTTTGAGAGGCAGCTGCGAATAAAAACTCTGTGATATCAGCTCCATTGCATCTTGGCGGCGACGACGTTCATTTTGATCGGCTAACTTGCATATCAAAGTATGTGAATACTGAGTATTGGGGCTATTGCGTGGCGAATATTTAAGGCGTCGTTGCAAGCCTGTGCTTGGAGAACGCCCAACACGAAACTGAGCTGTAGGTCCCGCTCGCTGCATCGGCCATCGACGAGTCTGTCCTGGACGTTGACAAAAGCTTGATATGTTGTAATTGGCGGATAATCCTGGGACATAGTTGGTAGGCATTCCGCCGATCGTTATTTGCTGTTCACAATGGCAGCTTAGTGCATTCAAAGCGGTAGCAAGTCCTGTAATACCACCGAGCCCCATTCCAGTAATACTGGAGGTCATACTGGATGACATTTTGTCCACACTTGACTTCTCCACTGCAGCCATTGCTGCTGTTCAGATGAAATTTCGCAAGAACTTCGCTCTGCGATAAGCCAGAGCAAGTGATGCTACTCATATCACGGCGTGCCTTTATATGCCATCAGAAAATACGAGTTCATCCACCGACAGTCTCAGTTTACATGAAAGCGCCGCATTTACTAGTTTTAAACAAAGTCCTATTGTCTGCAATCGGTCAGATGTAGCCGTTTTGAACGTGGTATACCTGATGTAAGACGATACCCTTCTAAAATAAAATTAGAAATGGCAATTGTTTCCTGACAGATTCAGCAGTCCGTATCAAAAAAAGGAAGAATTCATTTACGTTATGTAGTGAGTTTTTAATGCTTTATTTAATTTGCGGTAAATATAAATATACTAACCAATGGAAGTATTACAAAAAAAAACTTTTAATGTCCGCCTCAGATTTCTAAATCTGTTTGTTTTTTTTTTAAGTAGGCAAGTAGCTTATCAGCTTTTCAGATTAGCACTCATAGATAGATAGCCCATTGGTGCACAGCCGGGATTCAAACTTAAGACTCAGGGGTGAGAGTCACACGCTGAAGCCACTAGGCCAACACTGCTCCTGGAATGAATAAATAAACAGCCTGCATAAGGTTTGTACAATGGTGTCTTGGAATAACTTGTTAATAAAAGTCAAATAAAATGTTAGTGAAAAAAATCACCATGACGTAAACGTTGGGTAAGTATAATTTTTAGTTCCAACAAAATATGACGGTTTTACATAAAAATAAAACCGATATTATGTGCCGAGAAGGAAAACATACAGCATTGTATAATGAAGAAGCAATGTATACTTAGCCATGAAGTGCGATACATACCGAGTGAAATAGTTCCTCTTGGATAGAATAGATGGCGCTGTAATCGCCTCAACTTCATACTTATCTTAACCAGCTAGGACGGTGTCATTTCCACAGTCATAGAGTCTTCACCAGGAAGAGTTTCCTACAATGCTGTATGTTTTCCTTCTCGGCACATAATATCGGTTTTATTTTTATGTAAAACCGTCATATTGATGTGCCTCCGGAAAACATACAGCATTGTATAATGAAGACGTGTTTGTTATCTGCTGGTGGATGTATAAAGTACAGTATAAAACACAACGCTATGATGATTATGAAGAATTAAAGTCAGGGCTTTAGCTAAAGCCGTTATTGTTTATATAACTATTTTATTTACTTGCCAATATTCTTAATCAAAGCATAAGTATTTAGCAATTATTATTATTCTTGGTTACGGTATAAATATAACTATATCGATTGAGATGTACAATTAACATAATAATATAAACTTCCTATCATCACAACAAGGTATTTATATAATTACGATGGTGCAAATTTATTAAAGAAAGAGTGATGAGTTTTCTCTACGAGAGTCTATCTCGCGGCAGTAATGATTAAAGAATGTATGTACTCGTATTTGAAGATTTCCAATTAGTAGTTTATTAGTCCGTGTAGTAAAAAATTTCATCTATTGGTTGATTTTCGACCTAATTATTTTGCTAAATGCAATACTGAGGCTGTTCGTGGGCGAGGGGGGGGGGGGGGGTTTTTTTTTTTTGGGGGGGGGGGGGGGGGGGGGGTTCTGGGCCCCCGACCCCGGGGGGAAAAAAAATTTCCCCCCCACCCCCCCCCAATTCCCCCCCGGTTTTTAAAAAAAAAGGGACCCCGGGGCCCCCATGCAAAATGCAAACCTGTGGCTGTTGTGCGAGCCGTATTGAATAAAGTGTCCCTAGGAGGGTTGGAAGAAAGCCAGTCTAGTACTATTCGCGGGTCCCACGTGACAGATGATTTCACGGCTTTTGGTTTAGCTACTTTTAAAACCCTGAGGGTGTATTTAATAATACAATTTGAAAATGTTTTTTGTTCTACATGGGGACCGCAAAAAGTTAAAACTACCGATTTGCGAACAAGAATGGTTGAATACGATAAATTCTCTTTTAGAAAAAGTGATGTCAAAATTTTTGCAATATCGGCTGGTAGAGGGGATTTTGGGTTCACTTGAGAGTTGTCACACCATGACAGCCCTCTTTTGATTGCGAGTAAATAAGTGAACAAGTTGGAGTGACGCCAACTCTTCAAAAGTAGATCTTTTTCCTGTGTGGACCAGTCTTTTATTTGGGCACCCCACCCCCAATTTCCCAAACTTTTAGGGTCAATGCTTATATTTGTGGAGGAGGCAGTGCAGTTGTATCTAGGAGTGTCTCCGATAGGTGTTGAATTTCGTGGGGGTGATCTAGAGACCTGGATTTTCAGAAAGAAACCTCGCGGCCAATCTGAAGCAACTATCAGATAGGTGCCCGTCGCCCGGTTCAGGTGTGCTAAACTAAGGGTAACAGACTTGGAGGGGGGAACACCCATGCTAGAGGAAGAAGGTGCCACTACGCAGCCTTTTTCCTCCTTTATAATGCTATGATCACCCTGGTAGGTAATGTACCGACAGAGTATGTTAGGAGTGAGTTATGTTGAATTTGTCCGTCAGGTGCAATAGTTTGAAGGTTAGTGTAAGTAACCCTATCGGTTTCGTTCCACCTTCTTTTGAATGTATGCAATCAGAGTTTCATTTGTCCGATTGTATTAACACGTGTGTGTTCTATAATATTTTTACATTTATTTTGATTGCGGCTATCACTGCATGTAGTTCCTTTTTGTTGCAGTGCCACGTTTTCTGTTGGTATGACCATTTTCCTGACAAGGTTTCTGTCTAGATGTGACCCCCCCAACCCCAATCCGAGCCGTCCGTCGCTAGGAAGTGGGTTGCAGGTTCTTTGTGTATAGGCGTCGTCTGATGAGTAGCTCCGAGCCACCACATCTGTTCCTGCCCTACAATCTGAGGCAGCAGTTGACATCGACGAGGTCGGATCTTGTTGAATTGTCGCAGAAAGATCTGTACCTGGCGACAATGAAGCCTCCCGCAGGGCACGAAAAAGTTTGCGAAGTTTACTTGCCCTAGCAGACATTGTAACTCGCGAATACAACGCATAATTATGGTTTATGCGCTGTATTTTTACCTAGGGTAGCGACATCACATTGACCGAAGTATTCCAGCGAATTCCAAGGTATTCTAAATTTTGGGTTGGTACCAATACGGATTTTTGGTAATTGATTTTCCAACCTAGCTGTTCCAAGTGTCTCACGGCCTCCGCGGCCTGAGAATGTAACTTGGAAGGTGTTCCAAGTGTCTCCCGGCCTCCGCGGCCTGAGAATCTAACTTGGAAGGTGTTCCAAGTGTCTCCCGGCCTCCGCGGCCTGAGAATCTAACTTGGAAGGTGTTCCAAGTGTCTCCCGGCCTCCGCGGCCTGAGAATCTAAGTTGGAAAGTGTTCCAAGTGTCTTCCGGCCTCCGCGGCCTGGGAATTTATGTTGGAAGGTGTTCCAAGTGTCTCACGGCCTCCGCGGCCTGAGAATTTAACTTGGAGTGATGGTCTTGGTTGACCAGAAGGTAGTCGTCTAGGAAGACTAGCACTCGACATCCCTTCGCACGTAAGGTCTCCGCGACCCAACATGATACTGCAGAGAAAAGGTGTGGTGCTGACGCTAGCCCAAAAGGAAGGCAAGTCATATTTTCGTATAACTGCCCTTTAAAAGGTCGGTGTGATCTCGCTGCCGGTAGATGGAAATAGGCTTGTGATAAATCTATTTATCATCCAGTCCCCTGGTTGAAGAAAGTCTGGGACTAAGCCGTGGGAGATCAACCGAAAATGTTTTGTCTTCACGAATCGGTTTTGTTCTCGCAAATCTACAATAGGACGCATCGTGCCGTCGCTTATCCTGCGAAGAACCATTTTGGATATAGAACTGAGGGTTTTGTTGAGAACTGTTTGTAGGATACTTTGCCTGATTCAGGAGTTCTTTGATTATCTGCGATGTCGCAGGGGACGGTTCGGTTGCGTATTCACTTACTATTCGATTTGTTGGCATTAACAAAGGCGGTTTCTTGTACAGAGGTATGCGGAATCCTTAACTTGTGTTGGATAGTAATTTTTTTCCGTCATTGTTAGACAACGGGTAGTTTGATTTTCGTGTTAAACGTTCGCATCGTTTCTTGTTTTATGTAGGTATTACGAAAATTATTTTTTCCATTTTGTGCCTGGACTGGCTGACGATTCTTTGTTCTAGGTTTAAAAAGCTCTCTTACTCTTGAAGGTTGCGGCGGAGATAACCAGAATTGCGGCCCACCAAGGGATTGTATGAGGGACGCGAGCTTATTTTTGTCAAATAAAAATTCCTCGCTATAGGAGGTATATTACTAAGCGCAGTTTGAATACTTTTGTCCGAAATCTCACTTATTAATTTTTTACGCGTAGTTTCTATACATTCCGCTCGTTTTCCGCATACTATTTGCAGGGTTTGTTCATGCAATTTGTGAGAAGGTTAGTTAGTTAGTTAGAAGGTTCATTACCAAAAATAAAGGATATTTTTGTGAAAAGATTTGCGGGTTTTATTTCCGTTGGGTTATTACGAGTCCAGTTTATGATTTTTTGTAACCCAGACTGTAGTAATTCCCTTTGACATAAGACAACGTATTTCGTCTTTAATTTTAAGGTTACAAAAGCCTGGAGACGTCAGTATGTCTATCGGGGCTTTTTTGGATCTAATATGTTACCACGTGGGAGTATTAAAATGTTGGAGTTTTATAAGCATAATATATTATTATATTTTTATAATTTTTATATATTTATTTTGTAATCTTTTGCCCGGTCGACGGATTAATAAAAAATCGCTATAGTAGTTGGTCGGGCGGTGGGTACCCTCGTCATTGGACGCACTGGCGTTGACATTTGGTACATATTGTTGATGCATTATAAAATTTGTGAGGAAACTCACCTGATTATATCGATACGCGTCGATCGTGGGATCGACCGTTACCTGTGCTACTCGTTTCCTTTTCTTTTGTGGCGGTCCCTCGCGCTCCGAGTCGCTATCAGACGCGCTGCTGGTGCACGTGGAGTCCTCTTTGTCTTGTTCGTGACCTTGCTCGACACTTTTTTTAGACTACCTGCCTGATCGGCCCCGACGCCGGCCTTATCGGCATCGTGAGTCTATTACGCACTTTGTAATGTATAAATAATACGTTTTGCTAATAATTAACACTAAGAAAGACTATAAGGTTTTAAGTCGTTTCGGTTTCGACCGCACGCGGCGAAAGTACACAACGCTATGACTGTGGAAATGACACCGTCCTAGCTGGTTAAGATAAGTATGAAGTTGAGGCGATTACAGCGCCATCTATTCTATCCAAGAGGAACTATTTCACTCGGTATGTATCGCACTTCATGGCTAAGTATACATTGCTTCTTCATTATACAATGCTGTATGTTTTCCGGAGGCACATCAATCTGTAGATACGAGATGGCAAGTAAATGTTTTTTGAAGTAAAGACCACCTATTGCTTACCTATGTAAACACACAAAAAGATTTAACATTCTGTGGATGCACAGTCGAAAGACTTGGGTCTACATTCTGCATTAAAAAAAAATCGATTTTTTATTAATCGATTATTTTTTTAGCATGAAAAATCGATTAATAAATAATCGATTTTTTTCCTAATTTTTGAATTAATTTCAAAATAAACACCCTAAATTTTCATGGTTTTTTTTAAATTAAAAATAAACAATAGAAATTATAAACACAAATTAACGTTTAAGAATAATCAAAATCGAAATTAACTTAATCTCGTTTTGATAGATTTTATGTGAAATTTGATAAATGCTGAGTTTAAGCCTTTTCAGTAGCACATTGCAGTATTTTTGTTGTCCTTTTAATTGTATGTTATCTTGTGCTGCTGAATAAATTTATTTTACTTTAAAATTATAGTGTTCCATTCAAACTTGAGTTTTTTTTTTAATTAACAGGTTTTATCATCCTTTCGATGTTTTAAAAAAAAACATCAATGCATCGAGTATATCAATACATCTTCAAAGTATCGGAGTCAATGTATCTCATTGTAAACATCGATGTATATTGAATATCCCTAATAGTTCGAGGTCCGGGTTATAAAAGACCAGACATAATGTCGGGAGGTGGCATATGAAAAATCGACTGATTGATTTTCAATTATAAAAATAATCGATTATTAACCGATTATTTTAAATAAAAATATCGTGTAAAAAATCGATTTTTACTTTAAAAAAAATAGATTTTTTTAATAATCGATTATTTTTTTCACATCCCTCGACCAAATCCATCTTTTGCAAGTATCGAATAACAAACCGTGCAGGCCAAGAAAGGGAAAAAAAAAAAGTATCGAATATCGATCCTCGTTGCTAAGCAACGGACATCAATAAATAAGATTATTATTTATTCGTGATTTGTGGTGACTGCATTTATGATTGCAATTGCTACCATGTTATTGTGGTTTGCCTACATCTTTATCGTTTGCTAATTTTGACATTGTTGTCATATATAATACAATACAAACAACAATATACAAATCTACCTATTTCAAATATTCACCTACAGCTAAAAACACAGAAACATGGGTCTTTATAGATTATTTAGCTATAACGTGGAAGTTCAATATAAGAGTTACTTTTTTTCCAAAGCCATGCTCTTTGCTCTTACAACATCTGTGTTGAATATCATTTTACCCTTAATATTTGCTTATAGAAGCAGAGGTATCTACTTAAATGATGTGACATGTAATTATCAATTTTCAAAGGTAATAACTGGAATGTTTTTTACAGGTTTCTGGTTGAAGACTCATCATTTTTATGAGCAACCCATGGTTAAATCAACCTATGATTATGTTATCATTGCAGAAACAGAGGATCCCAGTATATCAATTGTGTGTGGAAATGGTAATATAATGCACTTTGATGAACTCTGTTCAGAAGTTCAGGTATAGAGATTAATGATTAAAAAATGTACTAAATTATATTTTATTACTGGCATGTTTAACATATTATAATGTGTTATAGATACAGGAATTTGATAACAATAAGGATACAATAAATGATATAATAAGCTTTAAGTTGAAACTAAATGTACCTGAGAACCATACCATAATGTCTGTTATTTTAATCTTAGCTCTTGATTTTCATTTATTGGTAAGTAAAAAACTTTTTTAGGAATGTGCCAATCAAATATTTAATGGTTAAGAACCTTTGTGTTACTTTTACAGACTGTGTGTCCCTTGCAAATGCAAGCATTAGGTGTTATCAATAAAGAGTTCAGCATTCCAGCATCAGGAGTTAAATATCATGGAAATCTCGAATTTTATCAAACATCACACCTTCCGTGTTTAAGACATCACATAGACACAACCTACAATACATCACTTCTTAATAGCATAGACAATAATCAAGATGTTACAATTGATTTCATTCTGGAAAGTTATTTTACAAGAGAAGGTATGTGTATATGTTTTCAAACTGTTATTTAATTTACTTATATATAATAACTAACCCGGGATCAACATTTTTCTAGTGTTATCACAAATGAACCCTATGTTTGTAAGAAGTAAGCATGGCCATACTGGAATATTGGACTTTGAATTGTTTTTAAAAATACCAGAAGTAAAAGTTCTCTATATTCCTAGCTTATTGCAAGAACTTAAGTGGGCATGGCCTCAGTATCTCTCATTGGTAATTGTTTTCTATTGGATAATTCGTAAAATCAAAAGTTTTGTCTTTAGGAATCGCCTACTAATGGCTTGGGAAATAATTCCTTGGAAGACAATGGATAATAAATAATTATAACATAACCAAAGCCACAGCCAAAGATAAACAAATAATGTAAATAAAAGACTTTAAAAAAATTATTTACATTTTATTCACAGTTCTAACTAATAAGTTTTAACATTTTACCATATTTATTATTGCATAACCCAGGTTTATTGAGTCAAAGTCAATGTAGGTAGTTGACTAGTATAATCTGCTTTTTCAGTCTGATCTATCTCTGCTCTATTATCTTCTATGATAAAAGTTTTTCCACTGTAATCATCAAGCTGTACTAGTAAATATCGGCACATATAATTTCCATATTCATTCTGTAAAAAATTACTTTATTACAAAAAACACTTTTCTATTAATCAGGAAGATATTCATACTAGCTAAACTACTTGCCTGCTTCATATCTAATTCAACAATAGCCTTATTCCTCACTCCTTTAATATAAAATCTCATCCTCATATGCTTAACTCCATTCTTCTCATACACTGCATGACTCACATGTGTACGTCTTCTCCTAGTTGTTTCTTCTCCATAACCTTTAATTGGTGCACCAAGAGCATCTTCAACTCTTGGATCCTAGAAAAATGTTTATAGTTGAAACCAAATTATTTTAATAGTAATTACCACTTATTTATTATATTGTAAATACTCACACTTTTACATTTTTCAAGAGCTAATGAGTATATACTGTTTGAACTATTGCTTGAAAACAATTCTCTAAACACATAGTAAAATATAACACCAGTGATTCCCACACCAGCTAATATAATTCCTGTGTAAGATGCTGTTTTTGTTGCTTCTTTGACTTTTTCTCCTATAGGTCTGACATCTGTAGAAACGTCGGTTCTTTCACTACCCCGAGATTTCGTCAGGCCACCTTCTTTTTGATTGGAAAACCATCGAATACCATTAATTCTGGGTGTTCCAAACAGTACTATAGGAACCGAATTATTACATCGAAAATATGATAGACTTTTAGATAGAAGGTTCATTGTACAGATTGTAGATTTAAATAAGTCATTCGCAAATCAAATTTGACTATTGCACTGTTGTAACTGTTTATTATATTTAGTGCTTTAGTATTGTAGTGATGCAAATTGTCATATCACATAATATGACAGCTTTTAAATTTTAATAGTACATAATATTATCATATTTTATTGAATGATCTGGGAGGCCAGACAATTGCCCCACAAACGGTTAAAGTACTTTAAAAGACAATTCTTTGGCCCAACTAACTTTTTGAAGGATTTTGTAAGAAAATCTAACTTATTTATTATCACGATATCGTCTGTTCCTGTTGAAATAGTTCACCTCCGTCATCCAATACATCGGGTATACTATTATAAATGACCACACTTGTTTTTTATATATCTGTTTTTAAGCTCAACACAAAAACTACTTAATGAATTGCAATTACAAACAAAAACAGGAAACCAACTACGAGCATTCATCGAAAACATTGCTTTACATCCTGTACTAAATATATGCTAGAAAAGTATGTATCGTGAAAAAATCAAATATAAGCAAGCAATCAATGAATCGTGGACAATATCTATATAATTTATTTGTTTTTAACTTGCTCTTGTTGTTTGTTAAAAACCTATACATAATCTGTATCATCAAGTTCTGGATGACAGTTACAATTTACTTTGACAGTTTGACTGATTGTCAGAATTGATATTCTTTCGTCTGTGATCCTCTAAGAAAATATTATACGTATTACGTACTTCAAAGTGCAATCAAAATTGATTGTCTAATGTCATTACATACCTCTGGGCTCTGTGTAGAGAAATATTATTAATTAATTAATTTAAGTTAAAAAAAGATACTTTAGTGGTTACGTGGTACAATATAATAAATATACACTGAAACCGTGCACGGCTGTCTAATCTTGTGAAAAAACGGCAATTACAATTTTAAAATGTGATTTATTTACTGAATCCAGATGGTTTTAATAAAGATATAAAATGCGCAAATATTAATTGTAGTGAATTTAAATCGAGATAAACCAAAGAAAGTTAGTATGTTAAGTTATAAAATCTTTTTGTGATCCCAGATTATGGCGAGGAATGAAAAGAACATTAAATTACATTGTGTAGAAGTGAAGTCCTTAGCGTAAAAACAAAATCATAGAAAACATGGATTGGATAATATCTGATGAGTTAGGTCTCACTGTGGGACACCTTGTGGGTTGGGGAGCAGCGGGGGCTATGATAATTGGAGGCATTGCACCATACATACCGCAATATAGACAAATAAAAAAGACACAAGATGCAGAAGGATTTTCATTGTATGTTTGTTTAACACTTCTAATAGCTAATACTTTGAGGATTCTATTCTGGTGTGTATTGTATTACTCTTGGTTCCTTTGTTTTTCTTAACAAAATTATTAAATTCTACTTGGCTACATATTAACTTTTAGGTTTGGAAAACGATATGAAATACCACTTTTATTACAAAGTATTGTAATGAATGTTACAATGTTTATTATGATTCATCTATGTGTAAATGTGCGCAAGAAAAACCAGATCATTCGAGCTCGTGAGAGAATATTTACAGGTTAGTAGTCATCAAATAACTTAATAATAACATAAAACATATTACCATAAGATACTGTGTGTAATGCTTGGATTGTTATGCTAGACCTCTTTCCCACACTCTGGATTAATGTCTTCTGACATAACATTATTTCCTTAAAAATATTTTTTTAAGATTAATCATAATTCTGTAAAATCAATCCCATTTCTTCTCTTCACTATATTTTCCTATTCTTCCTCTCTCTATTTCTACTTTTTTTTTTGTACTTTTGTATTATATTTTATTTTTCTTAATATTTATGTTATGTTTTGTTTGGTGGTTGGGGTAATTGGTGAAATTAGGCACAATATTCATGTTATATATACTATTGTGTTGTATAAATGGGTCAGCTCAACCTGATGAAACAGCCCGATGGTTAGGGCAGCAGAGTGGTGTCACAGGAGGTGAGAAGCCCCGTCGCTTCTATGGTAAGTCTAGTCCTGAAGGAATGCATTGTATTACTTGTTAAATATTCATTCATTCATCATTTTTGTTGCAGCAACCTGTGATGTACACGCTTCTAACTTTGGATTTATATATCATGTCTTGGTATATTGTCATTTTTTCATTAATGTTTTGTCCATACTATGGTTTTTTGGCATGTGTTTTCTTTATATTATTATTGTAATAGCAGTGTTAGTATACTCTAGGTATACAGTAGACCCAGTTACCCTATAATTATTTATTTTGTGTTTTTCAATAGGTGTGCATTTTATTGAAATTAGTGAAATAGAGGGTTGAATTATCAACTATGAATATGGTTAATATCAATGGTTGTATAATAGTATTTGGTTCATTGTACTGATAACATAAAGTCAAACTATTATTTACTATCTCATCTGTGGTCAGAGCATTGACCAGGTCACTATGTTTATATTTAAATTATCTTATCTTACTAACATGCATGACGTTTCCTACTTGAGACATTATCAATCAAATTAACTAAACTCTTTATACCTAATTGTTAATAATAAGAATTAATAATATTTATTTTTCAGATATGGATCGAAAATACTTCTGGGCATGGACTGACTTTCAGAGTTATGTAGACTGTATGCTAGTATTCTCAGTATTAGGGGCAGCTATAACTTATTTATTAATCGAAGTTTCACCATTTGTAGAATTTATTGGCTTCCTAGCTGTATTTACAGAAGCAATGCTTGGTGCACCACAAATTATCAAAAATCACCAAAACAAAAGCACCGAGGGAATGAGGTGATTTTCTTATACTATAGTTTATGATATAAGTGGCTGTATTTGTACTTACAAACGTGTTTAGCGAACTTCTGCATTGCACTCACACACATACTCGTAAAACTTAATAACAATGTCGGCCATGCTAACTGACTTAGTAGATCAAATGTTTGGTGCTAATTAATGTGCTTATTCTGTCTTTGATTCCTTCCAAAACCTAAGCATTACAATAATTGTTTATTTGTTTGAATTAAATGTAGGGTCCTAATTCTATATATTATGTACAATAAGTAACTGTCTTTGTAATAAGAATAATGAAACATTAATACAATCATGTAACATTTATTCATATTAATCTTGAGTTGTCACACTAGCAGGAATTTCTGATGTGTGGGAATTTTAAAAAATAATAAATTTATTTAAATAATTCAGAAGAAGACGTATAACATATTTACAGCATGTATTTTATAGAGGTCCCTGTTTTTTTATTTTATTATTTCTGCACAGAGTGTGGGACTCGCTCTAAAAGCCCTACCCACTAAACCCCTCCCTCCGATCACATCACTGTGTAATTTGGCGTCGCGTAAGCATTCTACCGAGAGATAGAGGTACCTCTGTGAAAAAGCTCAAAAAGGCATTGCCATTACTTCATAAAATGTTCCTTTAGTTGCCTGGAACAGATCACTTGAAAGCGGTTTTGTATCGTGTATTGTTGAATAAATTCCTTTTAGCAAAATAATCCAGTGACTAATTCTAAATTTCAGTGTGAGTATGGTAATAATGTGGACCTGTGGTGATGTATTCAAGACGGCTTACTATGTGATAAGAGAAGCGCCAACACAATTCTGGGTGTGCGGCAGCCTTCAAGTTACCTTGGATATTGTAATATTATTGCAAGTGAGTTATACGTCGTTTTTTTTATCATGGTTAATTAGAATTATAATAATAGTTTTATTATTCCTATAGTATTCTGATGTATACATAATTACTGAACTCCATTTATAATACATTTTCACTTATGAAAATTTTATTATTTGTATTTGATTTGATTTTTATTTAAATTACATTCAGTTGTTGAGCTCTTTAGTTCGATACCCGTCAAGTCAATAATTCCTAACGCACATATGACCTGTAAATCATAAAAATCATCAACCTTAATATAAAATCTATATAAATTAGGTTTATTTTTATTTTAAAGCTCAACTGCACACAATTTCAGTTTTCTAAACAAAACAAAACTTTTTCAAAATGAAATTATACAAGTCCTACATATTTAAATATCATTTCTTTTTCACATACATGCATATGACATTATTTACAAATCTTGACATTCACTTTTTTCAAGCATACCTAGTGCTTTATAAAGCAATTTTATTTCATTCCCTAAACCCCTTCCAAGACTTCCAGAACTTTCTTGCACATATCCTAAGCTATTCTATATGAAAAAGTATCTAAATCATCAATGTCTATTAAAATAACAGGTGTGGTGGTTTCGACATAATACAGCAGCGGCTCGCCGCTTGCGTCGCGGGGACTAGCAATGGACGGAAACAGACTTATAGCACTCGCTCAACGCCTTCAGGGTCTATTGGCCGCCGCTTTGCCATATCTTCCATCCCTTATGACCAGTAGACACCTAAACAATATACAAAAACGCCAAGATGCTGCTTAAAATTGTATCTTTTATTAAGCTTTTGACATTATTTAGTATATTTATCTGAATATAATGCATGGTCATGATGGTTGACCAACCGGTTTGGTAGTGTATTTTCTTTAAAAGGTTTTGACATTGTTGTTTTTTTAAATATTACAACTGAACTCACAGAATAAATATAGTTTGGCAGAACTTATGATATTTGAATTCTATAGCTATAAATAGAGCGATTTTGAGCAGCTTCTATGTTTTAGGTGACGTCTCTGTATATATACAATAGGATCAAAGAATTGACATTGTTTGGAAAGGGAAGTGACTATGATATTGACATTCGCATGACACATGACCAACATAATACTGAGCGAGTATCGTGTACGTGCCAAAAATGCTTAAGTGCCTCTATTATGACTACTAAAAATTTTCAAGAAATTGATCGAAATGAAATATATTGTTTTGAGCTTTTTAAAGCAGTACTGATTGAATTTTCCTATTTAAAGTATCTATCAGTAACGTTATTGCTCTAATGTTTCACTATTTATAAGAAAAATACTTTATATGTCTGATGACATATAAAGTATTTTTTCCAGGGGAAATAAATCGCTTCGCTTGATTTAGAAAAATCACCAGCGAGGCGTTGATTTTTCTAACTGAACATTATAGACAGATCGACCAAATATGCAAACTTACCGAGTAACTTTAATAGGAATCTCGCGGTTTCCTTTGAGAAAAGAAATCGGGAATTTTTTCCTTAGATGACGTCATAAGGGACGTTTTAAACTGATTGAAAGCACTTCAGATTTATATATTTCATGTAATTGAGGTCTTCAGGTGCTAAAATTATCTTGTATCCCTTGTTAAATCTATAGAGTAATTATTACTTTGACATTTGATCCAATTGCGAAATTGTTATAACTTGTTACGAATAATAGTGCTCCATTGGGAACATTTTGATTGTGTATTATGATTTTAAGCCATTTGATAATCTGTTGTATTAGAAAAATAATGTACATTTTGTATGACATAATATCATTCATCATGTCAAACGTTAAATAATTTAACGAATAAAGCGTTATGTTGAGAAATGTAAATGCAAATTACCATAATTGTATGGTGCTACTATTAGAAAATGCAAAAAGCTATTTAATTTTATTATGTTTATATTAATACTAATATTAGTATGACATATTTAGGGAATTTATGAAGTTTTATAAATAATTTTTAATCTATGAATGTTTAGTATATTGACATGTATCTGTATATTATGTAAATTTCATATAGAGCTCTTATTAATAATCAAATTTATAGGGAAATCTTATTTTAAAATTTGACTGCACAACTTTAGATGAATTATATCCAGCAACACAATTTATATGAGCTATTTTAACAGTTTTAGCGGTAATGTAGTTTAAATCTTAACATAATTTTAAAAGGCTTGTTATCCTGACACAGAAAGTTCCAACGTATAGATTAATTTCAAAACTCATTTCTTTGACGTCCAATAAAAAATGTTGGTAGTAAAATATGTCAAAAGTTGTATGGAAATTGTCATTACCCTATATCGTTAATCAAAGTTTTTATTATACAAATTGACATTAACCGTTACCAAGTACATTTATCGCTTTTAAATATTGTTTGTGTCATGAGTTTAATAGTAAATTGTGCGATGAAACTTTCTGCATCAGTATAATTGTTGTAATTCAAGAATTAAATAGTTATTTGATATGCACCTATCATAGATTGAAAATTAGTACAATCACCATATCTATATTATCTATACTACTGTTCTCTGAGATAATATACTGATCAAGTAATTTTTAATGAAAAATGCCGTTTGTTAGTAAACCATTTTCATTAAAAAGCAAATACTATACAAATGAATGATGCATTAGCACGTTGTTAGCTATGACCCAGTATACTATATTTTTGCCAAGTACCAAACACTTTTTCTACCTTGAGTTTGACAAGATATTGAACGTTAACGTTTAATGCGTCCGTTAAATGCTTACGAAAATCTTACATTTGGTGGTTATAATACTAGTAATTTACATATATTTGGCAGGCAAGAGTTTCAACTCATGGTATGGCTACGTAATATACGTTTGACATAATAGTGTTGACAGATTTTTCATACAAACATTAACGCAGACTTTAACGTTTCTATAAAGTTAGGCTCATATTATCTTCCTTCTTCATTAGTTGATTATTTTTGTAAGCGTCGCATTTATCTGGAATAACTTATTTTACAATCAGTTTTAAATAAGTTTGTACATAACAGTCATTTAATATGTATATAATAATTTATCTAATTTTAAGTACTCTTAATGAAGCGTCAAAAATAAATATTGATTTATCGTTGATTATTTCATGTGCTGTGACCCATTGGCCATAGATTAATAATAATTATTGAAATCAGTGAAATTATTTTTCATATAAATGACTAAGGGGCTTGAGGCAAAATCACATAAATTGACAATTTTCATACAAATTATGTTAGAGTTGGGTCACGCTAGTCGAAAAGTGATTTTGTCCCCCAAGGTCATATAATAACATGTAAAACAAATCTAGTTTTGAAATCTGTCAAATTTATTTCGATGAGATTAGTTGACAGAACTCGGCACTAGATTGTCTTTTACGTTTGAAATTGTACCGCGTTACGTATTTTAAATAATGTTTTACAAAAGTACAATGAGGTGAAACAAACTCAATCTGTTGTATAAATCATCGAAAAGTAGTTGTTTATTTTAATTATTATCATTAATCGAGAGTCTTATTGATGGGTCAAATAGAATAACAGAAATAAATTGACGCAAAGTCATTCGTATGAGTTGTATAAAGTCGCGTTTATAGAAAATATGTTAACGAAATATTGAGAGAATATTGGTACATATCATTTATGTACAAAAAGGTATTTATTAAAACGATTTTTAAATTCAATTGACATTCAATTAATACTGATTTTAGGATTAAGACACGTACAGATGTTGTGATTTTAGATGTTAACGTTTCTTAATAAAGTTGTTTGTTTAGAGTTGTGTGTTTTTATTTGAAGTTATCAGAGCGTGACTATTATCAAAGATATACTGGTCTATTAACAACATAATGTTCGAGGCCAACAAGGAATCTGCGCTTCAATTCGTCCCACTCGTTTTACGTCAGCTGTAGGGATAAGTCCATATTAATAATGAAATTTGATATATACTCGTATAAAATAAGGTTGAAAATCCCGAGAGCAAGGATGGATCGATGAATTTAACAGGAACAATACGACGCCATCTGGCGGAAAGATTGCGATTCCCTCAGTGCGCGGGGCTCGTTACCGCCGCTCGTACGTATGCGTGTAAAAATATATTGAAGAATTTTAATATAAGGTACGTAATCTAATTGTATATTCTGTATTTAAGATGATACGATAACAGTATTTATCAAGAGTTCAGAGTCCATTTTAACGTGTTACCACGACTGCGATGCAGAACAATATTGTTATTAATTGAGAGTCATTTATCGTATTAGGATATTTGTGTACACCTTCCTTTTAACTTTAATACAATGATTGTAGTGCTTTATAAAAGCGTTACTACTTTCATAACAATGTAATTTATCAATGAATAATACTGTAATGTTCGCGATAATTGTCATTTCCATTATCTGTCATCGTATGCATCTGCACTGCATTAACCTCCGCAGGCATCGTCAATTTCAAAAGCCCGAAGTGCATTTTAATTAATGTAAACGCTTGAAAGATAACCCTATAACTCATTCAGAATATTGAATTAGACTTATATTTTTATTTAGGCAAAAAATTTGGGTAGTACTGCATATTTGAAAAAGCTCAAAGATACTTAAGTCGTGGTTTTATTATTATTAGATATTGTCCGGTACGTTGCACACATCCATCCAATTAGTCTCATACTATAAAGATTCAATTAAGTTTATTGGAGATGTTTAGGTATGCATTTTATTCAGGCTCTTCAGACGGTGTGGGTGGCCAAATATTTAACCACTATAATCCGGGTGCATGTACGCCCGGTAATATCTAGAAAAATGTTTGAGTACCTGCTCCTCTTTTCTAAGTACAAAGCTAACGTTAGTTACCCCCGATTTTATGCAAGCACTTCAAGGTTGTACCTATTTAGAAAACATCAAAGAAATGCTCATTAGAGGGTCTGAGTAGAAATTCATCCCCGTTGGGTAAGCAGTAGGTAAACAGTACGTCGCATGACCGCACCTCGGAGGTAATGAGAAGGCCAAGGACAAAAATGTAGTCTAGAGCTTTTTATGAGAGGCTGCTAAGAGCTTAGTTTTTTATAGACATGTAAAAACATTTATAGGGCAATATATATTGCAAATAAACCGAGTAGAAACACATACAAGCAATGAATAACAATCAAATGGGGACTTTACCCAGTGCTGCATAGTTCAAATAAGTTCATCATGGATGTAATGCTAAAAATTTATTTCTCTGCTTTAAGGGCATTAAGTTATGTGCTCAATTGCACCGTTCTTTATATATATAATTATTCCATTGTGATATTAACAACTGACTTTACAAAACTTAAAAAAAGTTATGAATTTTTAGATTAAGTAGGTATGCAAACATCATGTTGGCAAATCTTTGCTATTGCATAATTAAAATTTGAATATCAAGGTATTCTTTAAAAATAATCTGGACTAATATAGTCTTCGACAGTATTATATATAATACAACAAATTCTATAGTCCATATATACTTATTGATGTCCTTATCGCAGCGTTTAGGAGTAAATATTTATCATCTGTATACAAAAATAAATCACGCATAGATAAAAAGGATATATTAGGAAATCACTTCATATTTTGAAGTTATACTTCTTTAGGCGCGTTATGAAAAATTGATGAGAGTGAAAT